AGTCAATGGGAAGCCGGCTCTGCAAGACTCCAAGGAACTCCAGTGTCCCAGCGGCCTTTCGTGGTCCCCTCGAGCCCTGCCGCGGACTGCCTGCTTGGTACGTGTGGCAACATGCTATAATGATGTTGTGCAAGTGTCACTGGGGCGGGAAGACATGTCATGGTCGACTGGTTGGTGTGACTTTGGGTTGGTGGCACCGACGCTGGGTGCCTCCACCCCAAAGGTCCGCCGATCGGCCGCCTGGCACTGTTTTCATGCACAACACACTTGTACAACATCACTGTAGTGTGGAGCCGCGGGTACCGGGCCGGCAGCGGCGAGGCGGCGGGCCCAAAAGCCCAAATGCGTCAATCTTCGGAGCCCGATAGCGGGCCTCCCGAGCGAGCTGCACCGTTTCTACTGTAGCAATAGATAGTTCATACTTAGCACTAGTAGCATACAACGTAGAAAGGGCGGGGCACCAATAGTACGGCCAGGCCAGGCCCCCGACCACCCAATGCCGCCATTGGGGTCCATTGCGTCCGCGCGCCTTCGCACCACCAGAAACGTGTAGTCAGTACCAAATCGAGTCGAATGTACTAACTGGCGGGACGGTAGGACTGAGTAGAGAGACGTAGAATTTTTTCCCCAGAACCGAACAGCGAACTTTGCGCCTTTACTGCACTTCGGGGTTTGGACCTCGCGAGCCGGTTTTTCAAGATTCGGATCAGAACAAGTTTTTTTCTATCTAACAATGTAAAAATATCGATGGAAAGTAGGTTGGGCATGGTGGTCATTTTTGGGGTTTTTTGCCCCAGTCATTTGCATTACGTTCGACCTCGACCTCAAGTCCCCCCTCCACCCCACTTTTCGGCGCTTTTTCGATGTGACTATGTTTATAGACACTAATGAACATGTTTGGACCAATAAAAACATGGAAGTGCCGGATTCCCCCAATTATGCAGATTTTGCTGAATTCACATTGGCCGAAAGTCGACCCGGCTCTCGACATGGGGTCTACTTGGATTCACCACAACTGCAGAAAACAATCACACATATACAATAGAAGTAATTTTAAGCAAAATTTTCGGGATTCAAGGACGTGATGTTCGCGACACCGCGTCTTTGGGAGGCCTGGCTTGAGCAGCAGGAGTGAGATTTTGGGCTCAAACTTTGGATTTGAGCAAAACATTGAGATGACTAACACTGGGGAAAGTAAGAGCGGTATAGATACTGTCCAACACAGAGCCAACCACCCCCTGAAAATCAGCCAGCCGGTGGCGATTTCGTAATACACGGCCTACTTTACCTACCAGCGTCATAAATCAAAGATAAAACCCAGTCAGCTGCTAGAAAGCGCAAAGGAAGGGCAGGTGGTAGGTCAAGGGACTCGGTGGGAGGCCGTCGTCCGGAACCGGCGCAAAGTGCCTCCAACCCACCGATCTCACGATACAAGACTGTCAATCCTTTGAAACTTTGGCAAACAAAGTACAACACATATTAAACCAGGAATCCCGAGCGAGAGTGAACAATCTACGATGGTGGCCCCGAAAGTAGGCAGTGTATGGAATCCAGTTCAAATCGGTGCTCCAGCGGCGTCTCACGACGCTTCTCCATCTAGACCAACGGTATCGCGGCGCCGCGCTAGCCACAGGTGTTACGAACATAGAACTACTTGCTCCAGCAGAGGAATCGCCATGGAAGGTCCTCAGAGGCCATGCGCTCCGATATTCGGTGGATTTTCCGCCCAAACGGGCTCGGAGGCCCGAATCACCCAACTGGTCAAAGATCATGTCATAGCATGCTATCCTTTGGCGTAAGACAACATTAAAACTTGGAATCCGGTGATAAAGCGGATGTAAGGGCCTTCAGGGCTCCGAAACGCTGTGTTCTGTTACCTGTTGGCAAAGTGCCACGATTTGACTGTGAACCAATTTCCGTACTCAGGGTCCACTAGAGGTTGCGCCATTCAAGCCACAGCTATAT